TAAATTCAGAAACCATTAAGTCCATGAAACAGAGGGAGCTTGTTCAAGGACTGCCTCACATTGCTTTTGAAAAGGAGATTTACAGTTCTTGTCTTTTTGGAAAGCAGACGAGACAGACGTTCCCTCGAGCCACGTCTTATAGAGCATCTGAAATTCTTGAATTAGTACATGGTGACCTCTGCGGCCCGATAACACCGTCTACAGCTGCTGGTAATCGATTCATCTTTGTTCTCACTGATGATCATTCACGGTATATGTGGACTGTTCTGTTGAAGGAGAAGAGCGCTGCATTTGAGAAATTTAAGTTTTTCAGAAACCGTGTTGAGATGGAATCTGGGGCACGAATCAAGACTTTTAGAACTGATAGAGGAGGGAAGTTTGTCTTATAAGAATTCAATGAGTACTGTGAGAAAGCTGGAATCCAGAGACATCTTACTGCACCATACACACCTCAACAGAATGGTGTGGTCGAGCGAAGGAACAGGACGATGATGGAGATGACAAGGAGCATTCTAAAGCACATGAGAGTACCAAATTATCTTTGGGGGGAAGCAGTACTGCACACGACGTATCTGCTAAACAGGATTGCTACACGAGCTCTTAAAGACAAGACCCCATACGAAATTTTCAGAAAGCAGAAACCTCGTATTGATCATCTGAGAATCTTTGGTTGTATTAGCTATGCAAAAGTTGATCAACACCTTCTCAAGAAGTTGGACGGTCGGTCTAGAATGCTAGTACACTTGGGGACAGAACCGGGGTCTAAAGCTTATCGTTTGCTTGATCCGCAAACAAAGAAAGTCATTGTAAGCCGAGATGTAGTTTTCGACGAAACCAAAGGCTGGAACTGGAGTAGAAATCAGTCGGAACGAGACGGGGATGGAAGTTTCGATATAACTCTTGGGGAGTTTGGGAACCATGGCATCGTGACTGAGAATGAAAACGTTTTTGCAGAAAACAACAATCATGGTGACGAGGGTGATGGAGATAAAGAAGAGAACGAGATTACCTTACCTGAAACTGTAGAACCGGAAGCTGAAGAAGAAGAAGTGACAGAAGATAACTCGCAGGGTCTAAGGAGAAGTCAGAGACAGAGTACTCTGCCAAAATACTTGAAAGATTATGTCTTACTAGCTGAGGAAGAAGGAGAGACACTTCTTTTGTGTCTTAACAATGAGCCTAGAAACTTCAATGAGGCTAAAAAATCTAGTGAATGGCTCGATGCTTGCAAAGACGAGATCAAATCAATTGAAAAATTAAACATGTGGGACTTAGTTGATTTGCCTCTTGGAACAACGCCTATTGGACTCAAATGGGTCTTTAAGTTGAAGCGGAACTCTGACGGAAGCATTAACAAGTATAAAGCCCGACTCGTTGCTAAGGGGTATGTTCAGCAGTATGGAGTCAATTTTGAGGAAGTCTTTGCCCCTGTGGCACGAATCGAAACCATCAGACTTCTGATAAATATTGCAGCTTCAAACGGATGGGAGATTCATCACTTAGACGTCAAAACAGCATTTCTTCACGGAGAGCTCAAAGAGACCGTCAATGTTCTGCAACCTGAGGGCTTTGAGAAGAAAGGAAGTGAAGTAAAGGTCTATAAGCTGAATAAGGCCTTGTATGGACTGCGCCAAGCTCCTCGAGCTTGGAACAATAAGCTGAACCGGATTCTTGAGGAGCTGAAGTTTGAGAAATGCTCAAAGGAGCCAACTGTGTATCGAAAGATAGAGAAAGGACACACTCTTGTGATTGCTGTTTATGTTGATGATTTGTTTGTCACCGGAGCTGACAAGTCAATCATTTTACAAATTTAAGGAGGAGATGGCAAGTAAATTTGAAATGAGTGACCAACAGAGATATGCTCGGAAAATACTGGAGGAAACAGGAATACTAGACTGTAATTCCGTGCATACACCAATGGAAGTGGGACATCAATTGTCTAGAGCAGAGAATGAGAAGGAGATTGATGCTACAGATTTCAGGAAGAAAATAGGATGCTTTCGCTACTTGATTCACACCAGACCGGATCTGTCATATAGTGTAGGAGTCTTGAGCAGGTATATGCACAGTCCTAGAGAGTCGCATGGAGCTCCAATAAGACAGTGCTTGAGATATTTAAAGGGAACGGTTTCGCTTGGTTTAATCTTTGAGAGGAGTCCGAAGATACCAAGACTAGTCGGATATAGTGATAGCAGTCTAAGCATCGATCCAGACGATGGCAGAAGCACGACAGGACACATTTTTTACTTAGGAGACAGTCCTTTTCTTGGTGTTCTCAGAAGCAAGATGTTGTGGCCCTATCCTCGTGTGAAGCAGAGTTTATGGCCGGAACCGAGGCAACTAAACAAGCCATTTGGTTGCGGGACTTACTCAGTGAGATCACGGGAGCTGAAGCAAAGAAAGCTACTATCCGTATTGATAACAAATCCACGATAGCACTTACTAAGAATCCTGTCTTCCATGGCCGGAGTAAACATATTCAGAGAAGGTTTCATTTCATCAGAGAGTGTGTCGAGAACGAAGAGATTGAAGTCGAGCATGTTCCAGGAGTTGAGCAGAAGGCGGATATTCTCACCAAGCCGTTGGGGAAAATGAGATTCAAGGAGATGAGGAAGCTCATGGGAGTTCAAGACTTAGAGAAGAAGGGCTTCAAGCTTAAGGATGAGAATGTTGAGATAAGCTTGAAGCACAAGCAAACCTGATTAGAATAAGGAAAATATCCTTTTAGAGAAAAAAGGAAAGTGTGTGAGAGATCTCTATATATTGAGTTGCCGAGATTGTGGCATCCTTAGAGAGAGAGTTTCGTGAGAGAGAACACGAGACATAGAGATCATTGTGTGAGAAAGAGAGCTTTAGGTTTTTGAGTTATTTTTCCTAGAGTAATAAGAAGAGTTTCTTATTGAGGTTGTGTGAGCAAAAACTTTCTTTCTTTCTGGTTCTAGAAGTGGGTCGAATAATATGTTAGTATAACATATATACGAACTTTCTTTAAACGGCTTCTTTGGTATCTTCTTTGGTTTAAGACTGATTTATTTGATTCTGAATTGATTATGACTTGGTTTAGCTTGGTTAAAGCGTGCTCCTGGCCTTAAATAATGATGTCATTTTGTTATAAGGTCTTTAGCTCCTCTCAGCTCAGCTACAAGTCTTCTTTTCTTCTCAGCTTCAAGCTTAGCTCCATCCTCTTTAGCTCCAAGGTTTCTCTCTTTATAAAATCCTGGTGTATAGGCAATGATGATTTTATCACCTTTCTACAAATAGTAGAACTTCTGGGCCAAAAGTGCAATTTCCTCTCCATCTTTTAATAAAACTGTGCGGCCCTTCCTCATGGGTGACGAGCGTCAGCCTTGGTTGGTGACGATCGTCACCAATGCAGAGTAACGATCGTCACCAATGCAAAGTAACGCCATCTGAGTTGCTTCATTCGGTAAGGATTCTTGCTTTGATTCAAAATGCTCAAAAACCTCTAGTTGTGCTTCAATCATGTTATAACCTGCAACGACTCTACTAAGACTCTAAAAATACCAAAAAAACTCAATAAAAGTAATTTATAAAAGTAACTTATATCATGGTTAAAAACCATAAAAATCATGATATATCACTAGATCAAACGATGATATATAGCAAAGCAAATAAAATTAGGTTAGATTCTCTAAACATAAATTATGCTTTTATGATTAACCTAGTTTCGTAAACTTAATCACTTTTGTTTTAACAACTCTATAAATATGTATTTGTATTTTACGATGCAATTAAACAAACAATAAATTAGGTTTCTTTATAACACTCACGACGCTTTGTAAGTATGCTTTTGTATCATATCATAGTCTAGAACGCGACCGCTTGCCTAAGCTAGATTCAATAAATAAATTCAAGGTCATGACGCTTCATGTATTAAGAACAAACTTATACAGAAAGAAAAACTAGAATACAACTATTCTATAAATCAGCTTGATTAAAGTATTAATGAAGTTCCCCTTCGTTTGCATTCTTTCGAAATCCAACTAATGAAACTACTCTAACATGATTGAAAGAAAGGAAAGATGAAATAGATGAACGCATAATGAATAAAAACAAGAGGATTCAAGAACATATCTATTCCTCTTTGAAAAACAAAAGACAAAAAGCAATAAAAACTTTAGTGGCTATGAAAACTAGTGTGGCACAACAGAGCCCATGAAATAAAACTCTAAAATCTAAAATATTTGCAGTTTTTGAAGGGTTTTTTGGCGTCTTTTAGGTTTTCTTGAGGTATGCGGCATATGGATTTAACGAGCTTGTGACAAACACCTTGTGTTCACCTGCAGGTCGAGTGTCCAGCCACCATAGTGGTGATTTGACAACAGCTGGATTTGAGCTACTAGTGGATACTGGTGGATGTGTTTCTATTCAGCAAGTGAGCTTTTACTAGATGGTCAGACAAGCATTTTTGTGCTTCACTTGTCTTCCTCAAATAACTTTTGCGTGAAAAATAGTAAATAAGTATATCTTGTATTTGAAAATTAGCTAGATCAGATCGTAGGAAAGTCTTTCTATGTTTGTTGTCGAGCTTCTGTAATTTCATACATATTCTAAAATATATTTTGCATTTTGATAAATAAAATTGAAATTTTTGTTAACTATATAAATATTCGAAATCTATTATTAATACATGAAAAAAAAAAATTTATTAAAATATTCAATTATTTTTTCAATTGTTATAACTAAAATAGGTAAAATATTACTGTTATCACTAATCAATAAACAGTTTTATTTATTTATATTAATAAAATAATATAATACAAATTATGTATTCAAAACTTAGCTGTTTAGAATAATCGATTCTAAAAATAAAGATGAACGAGAAAAAAGACTTACACAAATTTATTATTGTTAAAACTGAAAACGACCTCCGCTCCACACCTGATTGGCTCCCCCTTGTCTCCAACGGCTAGTAAAAAGTAAACGAACATTAATTTAAAACCCTTAGATCCTAATCAAAGTTAAATCTACGGTTTAAGATTTGATCCACCAAAAAAACATGACCGTTATAGAGAGAGCTAAAAGTGTTCTTTCTAAAAATAAAACAGTGCCTCTCTCTCTCCAACAACGAAACTTCTTTCTACACAGTAAGCAATATCTAATCGAGAAAATTAGGGTTTTTGTCTGAGAGAGTGAGAGAGAGAGAGATAGAGAGAGAGAGAGAGAGAGAGAGAGAGAGAGAGGAAGAGATTTTGAATCGTGAGAGTATTCAGAGAGAGATAGTGGCGTCTGGTTGGGTTGAAGCGGAGACGGGAAGTAATCGTCCCCGGAATTTCTTTTCTTCTCTGTTTACAAGTATCGGAGGAGCGTTACTTCAGATCACTGAAAAGGAAGAAGATTCAAAAATGGCGTCTAAAGTCTCGGATCTTCTTAATCAGCGAGGAATTGCAGGTTTTTTTTTTCTGATTTTCTTCATATCGACTTGCAATTTGTTCTGGGTCTTGATTAATTGATCTGTTATAAGTTTGAATTTTGAACTTGGTTAATATCTCCAATATTTTCCTTTGATTTTTTCCTCAATTTCTTTCAACTACGTCGGCCCATGATTTTATCTTATCTATGAGTCTTCATAATTTTGTTAATTTACATATACAACAAAATTAATCAGTTTCTGAACTACTGATGGTTTTTTTTCTTCTGATTTCTCCATTTTAGATCGTAATTTGCTCTTCATCGTGATTAATTGTTATTTTCTACTTTTTAATTTGATTGTGGAAAGATGAAAAATCTATAATGATTTCTTCGATTTTCTCCTCAAATTCTTGAAACTGCTTGGATTCTTGCCTTCTTGGGTTTATTTCTTTCTCTTTTTTTAAAAAAATAATTGAAATGTAACTCTTGGAAACTTGACACAATTTCGACTCGCTCTCATTTATGAGTCTTCAAGTTTCTGTTAAGTTATATATTCAACACAACTAATGAGTTGCTGAACTATGAATTGATTTGTGCTATGATTTGCCAATGTTAGGCGAAGTTAAACCGAAGAATGTTGCAGGACATGGAAAACAAAATCGAAAGGCTCTTGGAGACATTGGAAACCTCGTCAGCGATCGTGAAATTGCAACCGGAAAGGTAATTCAAACAAACATCTCTGATCTCTTTCTTCGATCATGTTCTGTTTTTCTCCCATATTTTGCTTGCAACTCAGAAATAGAATCATCTTCAGGACATTGCGAGGAAGGCGAAACAGGAGCAGCAGAAACAGTCAAAGGCCGAGGTTATTATCATTAGCCCTGATGAAAATGAGAAACCTTGCAAACCACATTTTAGCAGAAGAGGATCAAAGACTTTTACCGCAACCTTAAGAGCTCGAAGCAATGTAATACTAAAAAATTCCAAATCTTTTTTAATGGGTTTTTGACTTTATCTTGTTTGATGATCTAACTCCTCACTTTTATCGTCTAAAAGGCTGCAAATCGACTCAAAGATGCTGTGATCGACATTGATGCTGCGGATTCAAACAACGAGCTTGCTGCTGTGGAATACGTAGATGACATCTTCAAGTTTTACAAGGCTGTAGAAGAAGAGGAAGGAAGGATCAGAGACTATATGGGATCACAACCTGAAATCAATGTGAAGATGAGATCGATTCTGATTGATTGGCTTATAAACGTTCACAGAAAGTTCGAGTTAATGCCAGAGACACTTTACCTAGCCATCAACCTCATTGACCGGTTCCTATCTTTAACCATGGTTCCAAGAAGAGAGCTTCAGCTTTTGGGAATAAGTTCGATGCTTATAGCTTCCAAGTATGAAGATATTTGGTCTCCTAAGGTTAACATTTTCGTCTGCATCTCGGACAACGCTTATTGCAGAGAACAGGTCTTGGCTATGGAGAAATCAATCTTGAGGCAGGTGGAATGGTGCATCACTGTTCCAACGCCTCATGTGTTCCTTGCGCGTTAAGTTAAAGCTTCGGTTCCATGTGATATTGAGATGGAGAAACTGGTTTTCTACTTTGCTGAGCTTGGATTAATGCATTATCCGGTTGTTGTTCTGAACCGTCCTTCGATTTTAGCTGCATCAGCGGTTTATGCGGCACGGCAAGCGCTTAAAAAGACTCCAACTTGGACTGCGACTTTGATACATCACACTGGCTACTTGGAAGATGAAATAATGTAAAGCTAATTCGTCACTTTTATGTTATTCAGTTTCATGTTTTTTGCAGTCATGAATGCTATAATGGTTTGGTTTGGTTCCAGGGAGCACGCGAAAATGCTGATGAAGTTGAGGGACTCGGCTCCTGAAAGTGCGCTAAGGGCAGTGTTCAAGAAATACTCTGACTCAGAGAACGGTGAAGTTGCTCTTCTACCTTCGCTGGCGGACTAATTTTTTTCATGTTGATCATGTAGCTATGATGATCTATCTTCTGGTGTTTACCATATGTGTTTTGGTGTTTGGTTTTACATTGGAATCTCTCTGTACTATGACCATATATAAGCGTTAACTTTTATGTTTTCTACTACTTGAAGTATTAATATTCTACTTCTCGAGTTTTATTGTTTCCATATCTATTGCTGATTTAGGATACAACTAATGAAATAACAAATGTGAACCATACTAAACTTTGGTTTTACATTGGAATCTCTCTATACTACGACCATATATAAGCGTTAGCTTTTATATTTTCTACTACTTGAAGTATTAATATTCTTCAAGTATGCTATAATGGTTTGGTTTGGTTTCAGGGAGCACGCGAAAATGCTGATGAAGTTGAGGGATGATATCTTTAATATTTACACCATTTAGGATTGCATTTAGTACATGATTTGGTTCTTTTTTGCATGTTTCCTTAGTTTTTGTCTTATTTTCTTTTTCTTTTAGACTTAAGTTGCATTTAGGATATAGTTTGTATTTTTCTTGCATATTGGATGTTTTTAGGTACTTTTGGAGCTGAAAGGAGCATGAAAGAGCTTTGGGGATGATTCAGGATGCTAGATGGATCAAAGGGAGCAAAAGGGATCAAAGCAGACAATCTCTGCAAAGGTTTTTGGTCAGAGCACGGAGAACATCGATCAAGAGGGTGACCGATACCAGATTTTTGGTCAGAAGCATCGATCATCAGGTGACCGATACGAGCACATCGACCAAAAGCATCGATCAGAAGTGATCGACACAAACGCCTCGGATGATTTTCGGTCACCACATCGATCACTGCCCAGACCGATGGGATCTACATCGATCACTAGCATCGATCACCTATGACCGATGTAATCCCTGTCCGAATCTGTTTTATTTACACTTTTGCCATTACTCTAGGGCTTCCTTCTGTAAGCTATAGATAGCCTCTTTTTCTAGATTTTCGACAAGTCTTGTCAATTTACTATTCTTAATCATTTTCTTTATGTTTGTAAGACAAATCATTTGCTTTATTTAATATATTTGAGTATTTGCTTTTAATCTTTCATTCTCTCTTCTAATCATGATTAACATCATTTTCTTTTGTGATTTGGTGTTAAACATGAATATTAGTGAGTAGTTTGCTTAGAGTTTCTAGATGTGGTAGATTAGGAGAATTTAAGACTTGATTAGGACTTATTTAGTGCTTCAGTTTATGGGTTCTTCTCTATTAATATGTTATTAATGCTAGATTTGTCTTGATCACACTTATCTAGGTTGTTAGCTTTCTCTTATGCCCACCAAGTGTTTGATGAAATGATGATCTTGTTTAATAGAGGATTTGTTGGTCTTGGCTCAAGAGATTGACTGTTTGAGGAGCATCTTGACTGAAATATAGTTGTTTATTAATGCTTGCTTAATGTTTTAGCACTAATGAGAGTTAGTTCTTGTTAAGATGTTTAGCAAAGGGCTATTTTACAAGAGATTGGATCTAGCTTGCTTGATTGTGAACTATATGTCTAGGAATCAACATTGCTTGCTTATTTGCTTGATCAATGTAGTTTAAAACAGCCTTAGTTAGTCTATAAATTCCCCAAAGTCAATAACCACATCTAGTAACTCGATTTTCTCTTGTTTAAATCTCGGAGTTGCTCTGTTTTGCTTTGTTTTGCTTGCTTAGTTTTTTTCAGTTTGCTCTTATCTTTACTCTCTTTGCTGCTTAATAATATTAGGATATTAGGTGGTTGCTTAGGCAACAAAAACACTTTTCTGCTTGCTTGACTTAGAGATTTTTACTCTCAACTTTTCTGTTTTCAACTATAACCCATTTGGATTGATAAAAACCCTATGCTATACTACAATTGACTAGTACAAGCTTGGGTGATTGAATCAAGACCTCAAAAATCTTGTATCAATTTGGCGCCGTTGCCATTTGGGTTTTGTGTTTGAATCATTAGAGTTTGTAAAATCTTTAAGATCAAGTTTTTAGTTTTTTTTGGTTACTCACTCCTTTCCAAGTGTTTTAATTTCAGGTGAGTTACAACAAACAACAAGATGTTGTACTTTGAAGACAATACCTACAACAACTTCTTCGAAGAGCCTCTACCTATGCACTACTTTGAAGAGAGCAACACTCCTTCCCCCACTCAAGACCAACCCTATGTTTCTACATATGGAACAGCTGACATTAGGAGCATGATCATGGTAAACATCAATCTCCAGACCATTGGAACTATGGAGATAAACAAGAGATTTGCTGAGCTGCACAACAGGATAGATTATATTCATAATGACCTTCATGCCAAGTTTGATGACCTGGACTCAAGGATACATCTGTTGGAGAACAGCCAATATGATGCACCAACACCAAGACTTCAGGACACTCTTCCTAGACAAGCTGCACACAAACATCAGGAATTCTGCCACTTACTCACTGAAGTGGCAGAGGAAGCAGAAGAGGAATTCACTGATGAAGATGCCTCATTGGAAGAGCTTGGCATCATGATCTAAGAAATGATATTACATATGGACAGGCTAAGGGTTGAGTATGGAGGAGAAATCAGAAGGAGTAACATCACTGATCAAGAAGCTCAGGAAGTTGTAGGGAAGTTTCTCCATGGACTTGATGAATGCTTGAACAGAGAAGAAGAACAGGAAAGAGCAGCACTGGAAGCTGCTCAGAAAGAGAAGGCTGAGAAAACCCTTGCTGCTGCTGAAGAAGCCGCCACACCAAAGCACACTGATGCTGATGAAGAACCACTTGAGACACACCATGCTTTGATGGTCTTGTCTAACAACGCTCATCAAGACTCCAAGGAGCCCTTCCATCACCAAGTGGGAAATTCTTCAAGCAGTAATGAGAAGGGTAAAGGACTTGCAGTTCAGGACTGTAAACCACCAATCTCCTACCCCACAATGCATTTCACAAAAGCCAGAATAGAGAAGTACACAAAGTTCAAGCAAGACATACAGGATGCTGGAATAAAGCTCCCACATGGCACCACTTTGCTAGAAGTGAAACATCAAATTAGGTTCCTGAAAGAAGTTTTTGACAAGCTGGAGGTGGTGGAACCAATCCTTGAGAATGTGGGGGCTGAAATGAAAAGAAGCAAGATGATGAAATCATTGCCAAAGCTCCCCAACCTAGGAAAGTTCCTCATCACTTGTGAGCTGGAGATGCTTGACAATGTCAAGGCCTTATGTGATTCAGGATCAAGTGAGAATGTCATGTCTCTCCATCTAAGCCAAACTCTGGGAATCAAGAAACTGCTGCGATCCAGGACCTCTATCACTTTTGTGGACAACACCTCCACAAGGCCTCTAGGCATGGTGAAAGACTACCCCTTGAAGATTGGAGAATGCCTAGTGCCAACAGACTTTATAGTTATGGAGAAAACATATTCCAGAGAGGTGCCACTTCTTCTAGGAACACCATTCTTGGCAACAGCAGGAGCTCAGTTAGACTTCAAGAGAGGTTCAATGATTCTAAAGAATGTTGATGAGTTCAAAGTCTACAAGATTGACTCTTCTTCCATAGTTTTCTGTGGGGAAACTGAGCAAGAGAATGAACAGTGGAGGCTTCGAGATAATTTAGAGGATGCTATGAATCTCACTATGAGCATGTTGATGAGCGATGCTTTCCCTACTGAACCAGGAAAGACACAAGATGCTGTGTTGAAGCTTGAAGAGGGTTTGAAGGATAATGAAAGCATAACCACCAAGGATGTGAAACCTTCAACCACACCAAATGTCAAGAAGAAAAGGCATAGGATGTCAGCTCGTGGCAAACCCAAGCAACTATCAAAGGGAACATGGGTCTGGAGGAAGAAAGAGGTAGGAGCACCAGCTCCATCATCCTCTACTCACTAGCCCTCAAGTAAGCAAAGTCAAGCTTAGTGATTTTAAACAAGCACACTTGGGAGGTAGTCCCATGGTATTCTTTTGTATATATTATGCTTTTTAGTTTCTCTTTTATGCTTGGTTATAGTGTATAGAAGCAGGATTTCGAATTGGTTGTTGAGAAAGTCTGAAAGGGACAAAGAACAGGTGTTTTCTGGCTGACATCGATCAAGTGTATCGGTCATGACAAGACCGATACACACATTTCAGTTATGAATATTGATTATATTTGATCGATGTCAGTGGAGCCAGTTTACACCAGTTAACATATCGATCACTGGTGATATATGGAAGGAAGTTTGAAAGGGAGATACATTTCGGTCATTCACATCGATCAAGCTTGATCGATATAAACCCGCCGGACTAGTTTCGGTCTAGAGTATCGATCAGTTGGTGATTGATGTGATTCTCAGAAACACATCGATCACCAACATCGATCATACACTGATCGGTATAAACCCAGTGGGTAAATTTCGGTCAACAACATCGATCATGTAATGACCGATATGATCCCCAGGAAGAACATCGGTCACTAGCATCGATCACTCATGACCGATACTGACATTTCTGTCTGTTACAACAGTCATTTGTGATCGATGTTCCACCCGAGGTAAGTACTTTATCTTTCAAAACAATTTCCTTCATTTGGTTTGGAGCCAAAGAGGTTTAAATTTACACATTGGATTCTTCCTGACCTCTTTCATAGCTTATGAGCACTTTTTTCTTTGTCCCTCACTCTTTTGATTCTTTTGGTTCCCTCACCAACCATTGATTCCTTTGGTTCCCTCTCCTTCTTTCTATTTAAACCAACAACCTTCTTCACTTCTCTTTACACTTCAATTCACTACTTCTCTCACCTAAAGCTCGAAATTATTAGTTTTCTCTCTCTTTTATTTTCTTTCTCTAAGTGCTTAGAAGCTCCACAAAGGTTTGCTTCCTAAACTATTCTTTATTTGCTCTTAATCTATGCATGTGTTCAAAATCGCTTAGTATATGTCCTTAAGAGCAAGTTTTGATTAGTTTTAAGTGTTGTGTTTTGGTTTTGCAATGTGGATTTGTTTAAGAAAAGCAAGTTAGATGTTTAAGCTTTGTTTACTGTTCATTTATCTCATTACTTGCTTAATTATCATCTATTTGCATGATCATCATCTCTTTTGCCTAGGAACCATTTTGCGATTCACATGCATAATTGCTTATTCTTTGTGCATTCTAGCTTATCTAAACTGTTAGCTTTTGATTTCCTCTAGCTTATTAGAAGATTAATCTTGTT